CAGAGATAAAAACTTAGATTTTTTTTCAAACTAAGTAATGTTTTTTAATGATGAGATCAGAAGAGAAATGACATTTTATTAAGCTTGCTGCCCCTTGTAGTTTAAAAAATGAGAAAAATTAAAAACAAAAATAGTAATCTGGGCTCGGTTTGTATCCGGTTTGAGGAAATATCCCTAAAATTGGGCCATCGAGTCACTACTTACTACCATCGCCACTACCCGAACTACACGGGGAAAAAATTTTTGGTGCGGCTCGTCTGATTCAAAAAAAAAAAAAAAGTGCCTACTTTAAAAATAAGCATATTTACATTTCAGCAGATCCATAAAAAATATCCCCCCCTACTCTAAACCCTGCAGTCAGTCTGATCCTCCAAGTGGTTTATCTCTTGTGAATTGTGCTGTTCAAAACGAGGGATGGGCATCATAGCTCATGTGGTAAACACGTCAGTTATAACCCAAATTTCATTTTGGATTCCAACTGCTGCCACAAGAGAGAACAATTGTATTAAATGTCCACTGCAGGCAGTCTTGTACACTGACACACATACAAACTAACACTACACTACTACAAAAGAAAAAAAATAGTTTTTAAGAAGTTAAACGTCATTTAAATTTTTTTTTAAATACATTTTTGGTGTAGTTTTTTCCTCTCTTTTAATCTTTGTTGCTTTTATTTAAAAACTTGAAACGCACAACGTTTTTTGCCCGATGTGCTCTTCGGCTTTCTTCATGTTTTCCTACCATTGAATAAAAAAAGTTATAGATAGTAAATGTGAAGTTACAAACAATCTTTGATACCAAAGATTGTCGTGCCAAACAGACAGACGAGAAAGACTGTGTAGCGTCAATTTCCCAAATAGAGCCTTCATACTTTGAGAAGGAAAAATACGTAGCTGATTGTTGTTATCTCGATTCGAACCCAGCCAGCCAGCCGTGGAGCCGGCAGGAAACGAAGTCATTTTTAGTTGAAGTTCAAAAGACTAACTTAGTTTTACTTTTATGACACAAGGCAACACTAGTGAGCACCCGAACTGACTATAAATGGTGACAGAAAAATATAGATTAGGTTTTCTAAAATTCCAGATTCATTACTAAGTTACTAAAAAGTTAAAAGGGGTAAGAATTTCTAAGGCATGTTTGAGGAGAGAGACAAAGAGAAATAGAGAGGAAGAAATATAAGGAGAGGGAAAGAAACAGAGAGGGACAGATAGGGACACAAGAGAAAAAGTGTGACAAAGAGAGAGAGAAAGAGACAAAGAGAGAGAGAAAGAGACAAAGAGAGAGAGAAAGAGACAAAGAGAGAGAGAAAGAGACAAAGAGAGAGAGAAAGAGACAAAGAGAGAGAGAAAGAGACAAAGAGAGAGAGAAAGAGACAAAGAGAGAGAGAAAGAGACAAAGAGAGAGAGAAAGAGACAAAGAGAGAGAGAAAGAGAGATATTCGCCCCTTGAAAGATGATAATTTTCCTCATAACGCAACTGCAGTATCGACCTCTGCATACATTTTATTTTCAGCATGCACAATAACCCCCCCCCAAATGTAAGTGTATGTATTTAAGCAACTGCAAATATAACAAATACTCCTTGACACACACATACAATTACTCACACAATTGTCCACTTTTCTACACAAAAGATAATTTGAATGTTTGCTCCTTTTTTTTTTTTTTTACTGACTTCTTTACAGACAAAAAGACCAAAAAAGCCTATAAAAATTACATTAATTTTAATTTTGTTTTTATCTAAAAATCTAAAACCGACATTTTTTAATTTTTTAAGATTTTCTGCACACAAGAAAAATACGTTGCAACAAAGACATGAAAACCGCAATATGGTATCAATAACATAATGATTGATGATGATCATCATCATGATCATCATCACAATAATGATTCTATGAAAGTAAAATCTGTCAAGTTCCACTTCAATGTGATATAGTTGTAAATATATTTAATGGTTTTGACATACATTGTACATTGCTCTTTAAATTAACCACGGTTCAAAGTTCGACAGTACAAACCATCTATGTACATTTTCATGAGAATTTTTAAGAGAAAGAAACTGATTTTTTTTAATATTTGAAAAGTAAATATCATAAATAAAGGAAAGTCAGACATATAAAATAAATAAATAAAAAAGCTATATTTTAAGTGATAAATAAATTATTTTTTTCACTATAAAAAAAAACTTCTTTCACTATTTTATTTTTAATTAATTTAATACTAAATACCAGAGTTTTTATTTCTTTTCTCATTATGAAAATTTGATATAGTCAAACATACAATTTCTTACACTAATAAATGTAATTGGTTGTAGCAATATAAACTTTTAAACTCTGATTAGAGTGGAGTTTTTAGGTTTTGTTTTTAAGAGGGGGGGTACTTGGTCGAAAGACATGTTTTGTTTTTTTTTTAATAGGAAATCAGATGTGATCGATTTCTATCCAGGAGGACTCCTCATTTGTTTTTAAGTTAATATTGGTATTCTGACTTCATTTTTAATTTTATTTTCCACTCGTCTAACGAAACTTTACAAGCATTTTTTATCTAGCACAAGAAAATATATCAAGTCAGAGTAAAAATAATGTGAAAATGAAATGTACACGCATTTCGGAACACGTGCCCCCTTTTTCCTCATACAAATTTGATCCATTTATATTCGTTAGTAAAGTAACAAAAAACTAATTAAATCTCAAAAGAAACCCTTTTCGTTTGTAAATCTATACTTATTGAATTTTTATGCAAGATTGACATTTTTAAAATAATCCGTCACTATGATAGTACTACTACTACTAGATTTTTTTTAACTGGAAAAGTAATAGTAAGAAGTAGTAAGTGAATTATGATGTGTTCATAAAATGTTGACATGGAATATTATTCTCCCATTGTGTCTATAATAATTAGAAATCCCCAGAAGAAAAAAAAAATCAAATAGAGAGGCTAAAGTTATAATTAATTATATAACTAAGAAAAAAAGCATTATCGATTTTATTAACATAAAATTTGACACGTAATACTTAAAACTTAAGCTAGTAACAAAAACTAAGTCAAGTAGGTCATTATTTTTTAACAGATAAAATTGGGGGGGGGGGGGCAAATATTTTTTAAAATGAAAACAAAAATTGGGTTTATGTCCAAATTACTAATAAATCTAAATATAATGTTTAGGTCTCTCTCTACTACAAATCATACCGGTTTTCTGAACATTTGATTTTTAAATTACACAAAAAAAAAAAAAAAAAAAAAAAAAAAAAACGTTTCTGACATATTTTATTTAAAAAGCACTCCTATCTTAAAGAAAAAAAAAGAGACTTATTACAAGGCAACAAATGAAGTGTATATAATACAAATATTGGAAATTTTATAAATGTACATAAAGCAATTATGCACATCTATATAAAAAAACAGAAAAATTGGTATTTTATCTGTGAGTAAAAGTGTTCATAGATAGATAGATAGATAGACTGAGAGTAGGAAAAAAAGACTGCCATAAAAGGGGTTTTTAAATGTCTTCAAAATCATACAGGATTTTTTAAGTCAAATTAAACATCAGACAGAATTTGGTATATATACCAATAAATAAATGTTGATAGCTAGCAAGATTAAAAAAAACACTGATAGAAGGAAGTTTACCATAAAAGGGGATTTAAAATAAACATACACCCAACAAAGTAAAGAAATACCAAATTGTGTAATATACACATTAAAAAAAAAAGAAGGCGTGTTTGGTAGCAAGATGGATAGACTGATATATAAGTTCACTTTTAAAAAGGAGGTTAAGTACATTATTTAAGCCAAATATCGACCTAAAATCGATTTTATTTTAATTATATTTTAATCATATTTTAATAATATATACAGACAACAAACAGTGTATCTTTCTAAAAATGTGTTTAAAAAAAAGAAGATAGAAAGAAAGACAGACTGATCACAAACGGTCTGTGATGTTTTTAACTCAACCTTTATTTTTTTAAAACAATTTCAAAACCAAGAAATTAATATTTTTTAAATCAATAAAGAAGTACTTAATTATATGTATATATAACAAAAATAAATTTTTAAAAAGTGAAAAGGGTACTCACTGTTTCAGAGATTGGCAGTGATAAAAAATATATTAAAAATCTCTTCTTTTTTTTTTTAAAAATATATATATATCTATATATATAGATATATATATACCCGAAGAGGTCCTCTGGGCAGGGAAAATGAAATCCAGAATTTTATGTCTATATCGTAAGTATGTGTTCTTGTCGAATTGAAACAAAACTTGGTTTAAACAAAAAAAAATGATTTCTATTTCCTTCTTTTCTTTATAAATTTGGTTTGTTTTGGGGTTTTTATTTTTCGTTTGTTTCTTTTAAGTGAATAATCCTGTGGGTATTTCAAATCGGGTGGCAAAGTTCTTGTGACTGGTCCCCCCACTGTTCCGTGTGTTCTTCTTCTCTGAATAGAAAGAAGACGGGACTGGCCGCATTCAACTGTGAGTGGTGACGGTGATACGGAGGCCCGTTGGAGACATAAATACAAATCGTCGGCGGCAGAAAAAAAGTGGTGGCATGTTATAGATGTTTTGTGGTAGGTAGATACGGTTCATAGTTTGCTCACAGTTTCAAGGGTAATGAAAACTGAATGATGAGGTATATCTATTTTTAAAGAATTTAAAAAAAAATGAATTGTCAGTGTGGTTGCAAGCCGGATGTATGAGGAGAGATGTTTTGGCAGATGGTACTTAGATTTTTGTTAGAAAGTAAAATGTAGACAAACTGAGATAGACTTTTTTTACTAAATGTTTATCCAAGACAAGACCTCAGACGAAAGGTAGACGGTTGCTGCAATAAGTTGTTCTACTAACGATAGATAATGAACAGGGATAGATACGAACAGAGTTATTTAGATAGAGAGATATGAACAAACTGAAATAGATAGATAGATAGATAGATAGATAGATAGAGATAGATTGGGCCAGAATTAGATAGATAGATAGATAGATAGATTGGGCCAGAATTAGATAGATAGATAGATAGATAGATAGATTGGGCCAGAATTAGATAGATAGATAGATAGATAGATAGATAGATAGAGATAGATAGATAGATGAATTGGGCCAGAATTAGATAGATAGATAGATAGATAGATAGATAGATAGATAGATAGATAGATAGATAGATAGATAGATAGATAGATAGATAGATAGATTGGGCCAGAATTAGATAGATAGATAGATAGATAGATAGATTGGGCCAGAATTAGATAGATAGATAGATAGATAGATTGGGCCAGAATTAGATAGATAGATAGATAGATAGATAGGGCCAGAATTAGATATAGAGATAGATAAGAACAGTCTGGGATACATAAACATATGCATAGATAGGAAAAAAACTGAGAGAGAGAGAGATAGATAGCTAGATACATGGAGAGATAGATACATATATAGATGCAGGGTTAGATAGATATGAATAGACTGATAGACATAGATATCTATGAAGACAGATATGAACAGAGTTACATAGATACAATATAGACAGATACCTTATAGATATGAACAAATTTAGATAGATAGATAGATATCAACAGACTGGCATAGATAGATAGATAGATAGATAGATAGATAGATAGATATCAACAGACTGACATAGATATATAGAGAGATAGATAAGAACAGACTTGGATAGTTAGATAGAAAAAATGAGATAGATAGATAGATAGATAGATAGAGTTACATAAATACAATACAGATAGATATGATATAGATAGATATGAACAGATTGGAATAGTTAGATAGATAGACAGATAGATATGCATAAACTGAGGTAGATACATAGGGACATAGATACATAGATACATACATACATAGCTAGATATACAGAAAATAGATATGAAGAGACTGAGATAGATATCTATAAGGATAGGTAAATACGAATAGAGTTACATAGATACGATATAGATAGATATAATCAGATAGGGATACATAGATAGATAGATAGGACCAGAATTGTTTAGAAAGATAGATAAAGAGAGAGGGAGACAGCCTGGGATAGATAGATAGATAGATAGATAGATAGATAGATAGATAGATAGATAGATAGGACCAGAATTAGATAGATATAGTGATAGATAAGAACAGTCTGGGATACAGAACGAGATATATCTCTGTCTATCTGTCTATACATATCTATCTCTCTCTCTCTCTCTCTCTATATATATATATATATATATATGCATCTATCTGTTTATCTATCTCTCCATGTATCTATCTCAGTTTGTTCCCATCTATCTATCCATCTCTTTATGTATCACAGACTGTTCTTATATATCCATCTATCTTTTCATATTTAACCATATATCTCGTTCTCAGTTTTTTCCTATCTATCGATCCATTTATGAATTGCAGAATGTTCTTATCTATCTATCTATCTATCTATCTATCTATCTATCTATCTATCTAATTCTGGTCCTATGTACCTATCTATTTATGTATCTCAGGCTGACTCTCTCTCTCTTTCTCTCTCTCTCTCTCTCTCTCTATCTATTTATATATATATATATATATATATATATATATATATATATGTGCCAGTTTATTCATTATTCATCTATCTATCTATCTATCTATCTATATTATCTATCTATCTATCCAATTCTGGTCCTACCTATCTATCTATGATAGTTTGTTCCTATCTATCTATCAATAGATATGAATACACTGATAGACATAGATATCTATGAAGTTACACACATATGATATAGACAGATATGACATAGAGAGATGTGAACAGATTAGGATAGATAGATAGATAGATAGATAGATAGATAAGAACAGCCTGTATAGATAGGAAAAAACTGAGATAGATAACCAGATATATAAATAGATATGAATAGGCTGGGATAGATAGATAGATAGGTTGATAGATAGACTGGAAGAAACTCTGCATATAAGTACCCCTTAACGTAACATTCTACCTTAAGTGGGCTCCGGTCCTTAACCAGGATGAACCTTACTGTAAAAAAAAATAAAATTCTTTTCCTTTCTTTTCTTTACTTCCTGCAAAGTCAAATAAATGAGTTTACTACATTGATATCATTTCAGTTTATGGAACTATTTAGAAATTATAATATCTAGTAAATTAAAATCATCGGTATATTAAACTTGAGACGGCTCGAGGCTGTAGCCTAAAAGATAATCTTGACAATAATAACCAAAAAAAAAAATGGTCGTTTTGACAAACCATTTTTTTTAATAGATACATATGTTAAAATTTGCTTTAATGCCTCTAGCGTAATGAAGCTGAAGATACTCCATCTTTCTAAGCAAAACCCATCAGCCACTTCTTCTATTCTGCTTTCAAGATATCTGACGACAACAGCTTCAGTCCAGTTTAGTAACAACAAATTAATTTAATTAAATGGTGAGTAATGAAAAGGTTTGTGCCAGATGGTCGGAAATCTGATACTCAAGAGGGTGGGGACTATTTGTTTAGCTGGCTTGGATCTATGTTAAAAAGGGTAAGAGAACTGGTTGGGTTAATAGTAAGAAATAATTGTCTTTTTTTTTTTTTTTACTTAGAGGAAAAGTTTATAAATCTGACCTTATGCCATACTTAGATTTGTTCAACAAGGAACTTGTTTAAGAAGAGATTGACAATTCAGTTTCTTCTTTGTTGGGAACACTATAAATCTGACCTTATACCACACTTGTTCAACAAAGCACTTGATTAAGAGATTGATAATTCAGTTTCCTCTTTGTTGGGGCTACTATAAATCTGACCTTATGCCATACTTGAATTTGTTCAACAAAGAACTTGTTTAAGAAGAGATTGACAATTCAGTTGTTTCTTTTTGACTTTATGTTTTTTCTTTTTCTTCATTTTTTCTTTTTTTGTTCTTTTTCTTTTTTCTTTTCCCTTTGTACCGTTTTATCTGTTTATCATTCTTTTACATCTTTCTCATATTTTATTTCATTTTGCTTTCCTTCCCTTTCTTTCTTTCTATTATTTTCCTTTTTCTTTTTGTTTTCTAATTTCCTTAAATTTTCTTTCCTTTTTCTCCTCCTCATTTTCTTTTATTTCTTTCTCTTTTCCTTCCCTCTTTCATTCCCTTTATTTCTTGGCTTTTCTCTTATTTCTTCTTTCTTTTCATTTCTTTCTCTTTCTGTTTACTTTTCATTCTTTTCTTTCTTTCGCTTTCTCTTCATTTTATTTTTCCTATCCATTTTCCATTTCTTTTACTTCCTTTCTTTTTATTGCTTGTTCATTTCTTTTTTTCCTTTTTTTTTTCTTTTTTCTCTTTCTTCTCTCTTTCATTCTTTCCTATTTTCCTTTTACTTGTACTTTCCTTTTTCTTTTCTTTCATAATTATATTATTTTTATTATTTTCTCTTTTATTTTTTCTTCCTTTCTTTTAATTTTTTCCTCTTCTCTTTCTTTTTGAATTTCTTTTTTCTTTCATTCTCCTTTCTTTTTATTTCCTTCTCTTTCCTTCTTTATATCTTTTTCCTCTTTCTTCTTCCTTTCTATTTATTTTCTTCTCTTCTCCTTCCTTCTTACCATCTTTTTTCCTTTCTTTTTCCCTCCTCTCATTCAGTCTTTTTATAAATATTGCTTCCTTTCTTTCATTCTTTTTATTTCTTTCACTTTCTCTTGTTACTTTTTCTCTTTTTATTTATTTCCTTTCACTTCATTTTTCCTTCATTCTATTCTCTCCCTTGCCTATCTCATTCTTTTTATTTCTTCATTTTCTCATCTTTCCTCCTTTCTTTTTTATTTCTTTCACTTTCCTTTCCTTTTTTTCCTTTCTTTTTTATTTCTATCTCTTTCCCTTACTTTTCTCCTTTCTTTTTTTATTTCTTTCTCTTTCCCTTACTTTTTCCTTTATTTTTTATTTCTTTCTCTTTCCCTTCCTTTTTCTTATTTCTTTTTTCTTTTCTTTCTCTTTCCTCTCCTTTTTCTCCTTTCTTTTTTCTTTCTTTCTCTTTCCCTTCCTTTTTCTACTTTCTTTTTTATGTCTTTCTCTTTCTCTTCATTTTTTACCTTTCTTTTTAAATTTCTTTCACTTTCCTTTCCTTTTTTTCCTTTCTTTTTTATTTCTTTCACTTTCCTTTCCTTTTTTTCCTTTCTTTTTTATTTCTTTCTCTTTCCTTCCTTTTTCTCCTTTCTTTTTTACGTCTTTCTCTTTCTATTCATTTTTCTCCTTTCTTTTTTATTTCTTTCTCTTTCCCTTCCTTTTTCACCTTTTTTTTTATTTCTTTCTCTTTCCCTTCCTTTTTCTCTTTTCTTTTTACTTCTTTCTCTTTCTCTTCCTTTTTCTCCTTTCTTTTTTCTTTCTTTCTCTTTCCCTTCGTTTTTCTTCTTTCTTTTTTCTTTCTTTCTCTTTCCACTCCTTTTTCTCCTTTCTCTTTTATTTCTATCTCTTTCCCTTACTTTTTCTCCTTTCTTTTTTATTTCTTTCTCTTTCCCTTACTTTTTTCCTTTCATTTTTATGTCTTTCTCTTTCCTTTCCTTTTTCTCCTTTCTTTTTATTTCTTTCTCTTTCCTTTCCTTTTTCTCCTTTCTTTTTCTCTTTCTTTATTTTATTTCTGTTTCCTTCATTATTCCTTTCTCACCAAATCTTTCTTTTTCTTCTCCTTCATAGTTTATTTTTAATTTGCACCATCAGTTGTTTATATTATCAGCAAATTCCTTTCATTAATTGCTGCCTATCTCCCAAGCCATTTATTTCAATTTTGATTTCAATAAAAGAAGTAAACAATGTTAAACAAAAAAATAAACTGATTCAATAACTGAAAAATCTGCCTTTTAATTTTTTTTAATCCTTTCACCCCCAAGCAAGGCAATAAAGCCACTAAGACACAAGAGTGAACAGCAAGGGGCTTTGCAGGGGTGAATATACATATTCTCTATATCTATCTATGTATCTATCTCTCCACGTATCTATCTATCTTAGTTTATTCATATATATCTATGTTTCTATCTACTCCAAACTGTTCATATCTATCTATATCATATCGAACTGTATTGTATCTATTTAACTCTATCTGTCTGTATATCTATATATCTATCTATCTATGCATCATATATGTATCTATCTTTTGATATATCTATCTCGATTTTTTCCTACCTATCTATCCCAGTCTGTTCTTGTCTATCTATCTATCTATTTATCTATGGTGGATGGTGAGGGGCTTCGCAGGGAGTGAAAATGAAATAGAAGGAAATGGTGAATGAGTAATTAAGGGGAAGATTGAGGAAATGAAAAACATAAAAGAGTTCAAGAAGATGCTGATTGATGTTGCATTTAAATCTTCTTAGATTGTAATTACCAGGGAAGCGAGAAATTGAAAGGGAGTTTCACAGGTCGGAAGTGCAAGAAAAGAAACTGTTAGAGTCAAAGTGACGGTTGCATCCCACTAGTTCAACAGTAAAACAGTGAGACCTAATTTCCAATATAGTAGAACGTTTACTTTGTACCTTTTAAAAATTATATTCCGTTCTGAACTGAGCCAACCAAAAATATTTTTTTTACTAAATGAAATTTTATGTCAGCTTTCTAATGGTATTAAAATTATCATCACATTGTTAGAATGATTTGAGTCCTTGGATGGGGAGTTAGATTTAAAAAAAAAAAGGCAAACATAGATAAATGTGTCCACAATAAGAGTGTCAAATAACATTTTTCCTATAACTTCGTTTATTTAACTATCTTCACTCTTCAGCAATGTTTATTGTTTTAAAAAGTGACGATTAGAATTGTAATAAAACTATATCTATCTAAGACATTTTTTATGGTTATACATTCTTTTTATAGATACAAATATTTAAGTAAATGCTCTGTTTAGAATAAACAGTATTAACAACATTTACTGGCCCGAATATCTGAGAAATTTTCATAGAAAATATGCATCCTCCAACAGGAATCAAACCTGTATCCTGTACGGAACCGTCATATAGCCTGATGTGCTTTTACCAATTGAGCCACAGAGGAGCGTTTCAGTTAGCAAGGTTGATTTTACTGATTTTAAACTACAATTCTCCATGATTTTCTCGTACATTCATATCTGCTTGATGCGTATCCAAATGTAAACAAGGACGCATATTTTGTATAAAAATTTCTCAGACATTCAGGCTGGTAAATGTTTTTAATACTGTTTATTATAAACAGAGAATTTTCTTAAATATTTGTATCTATAAAAAGAACGTACAAACATAAAAAAATGTCTTAAAATAATTGTTGGACTTTGTCCATTTCATAATGTGTGACTATCTATCTATCTATCTTTCTATTTATGCCAGTCTGTTGCTACCTATGTATCTTTCTATCACCATTTGTTCCTATCCATCTATCTATCCCTATTTGATCATATCTATATTGTATCTATGTAACTCTATTCATATTTATCTATCCTCATAGATATCTATCTCAGTCTATTCATATCTATCTTCTATATATCTATCTATCAATCGATCTATCTATCTCTGCATCATCTATGTATCTATCTATCTCTCTCTCTCTTTCTATATATATATATATATATATATATATATATATATATATATATATATATATATATATATATAGCCAGTCTGTTCCTAACTCTGTATCTAATTTTGTTCATATCTAATTTTGTTCATATCTATCTATAAGGTATCTGTCCATATTGTATCTATGTAACTCTGTTTATATCTGCCTTCATAGATATCTATGTCTATCAGTCTATTCATATCTATCTATCTAACCCTGCATCTATCTATCTCCCTATGTATCTAGCTATCTATCTCAGTTTGTTCCTATCTATCTATCTATCTATCTATCTATCTATTCATATGTATCTATGTATCTATCTATTCCAATCTGTTCATAACTATCTATATCATATCGAGCTGTTTTGTATGTATGTAACTATCTATCTATCTATTTATCTATCTATCTATACCAGTCTCTTCATATCTATCTATCTATCTATCTATTTATCCTAATCTTAAAAAAAAAGTTTTAAAAAGCAATGATTAGAATTGTAATAAACTTAAACATATGAAAGTGAATTTATAAATTTTCTTTGTTTTTGAGAATTTACAACAAAAATATCAAACACTATTTATTTATTGTTTATTGGAATGGTTGGCAAGCTATTAGCTCATTGACAATTGATCCAAACTTTATAAAATGGTAAATAAGGATTTCCTTATAGTTGGTTTACACATTTTAATAATTTAGTAAATGTCTATAAATTTATGAATTCAATAAATGTTGGTATGATTTCATTATTTTTGCTTTTAAATCCCACATTGTGATAATAAAAGATCTGTCAACAAAGGCGAAATCTTGTAAAATTCTGGACTCAAATTTACTGTGGATGATCAAGAGATTAAAATACCTTCTAAACATTTTTGTCTTAGGAAATTATTTTCTCCTTTAGAGCAGCATTTTTTAAGTCAAAATTGTGGTCAGTCCCATTACAGTAAACAACTAATGCATTTAATATCTTATTTTGTAAAAGATTCCTTTTATGTTTATATAATTTTCTTCTTAAAATACCTTGAGGTTTCTCTGATGTATTCATTGTGGCAATTATTACGGCTTTATACATCTATTTTATGTTTAATATAAATGAAGTTCTTGCATGAATGTGTTGACATAGTCTTAAAAACACAGCTAGTGAATCCCACTTATAGATTAGCAAAAATCAGCAAACATGTACAAAGAAGCCCACAATAAGACATAGTGTCGAAAGGACAGTTTTTCCCATGAAACTGCTTTTTTAACTACTTTAACTCTTCAGCAATGTTTATTGTTTTAAAAAGCAATGATTAGAATTGGAATAAAACCTAAAGATATGCTAAAAGTGAATTTATACATTTTCTTTGTTTTTGAGAATTGACAACAAAAATATCAAACACTTCGATCTTCTCTTCTTTTCTCTCTTTTTCTATGTCTTTTTTTTCTACACAATCAAAATGGAATTGTATGTTATTTACGAGGCATTGCCTGGAGACATTAAACACTTTCTTTCATTTTCTCACTGAAACCAAGTAGTGTCTTTTCCCCACTTTGCATGTGACTAAAATGGAATAGTCCATTATTTATAAAGTATTGATAGGATGTAATGGTCATACCAGCTAACAAAGGGAGAGACAAACACAATTGTAATAGAATATTTGTTAAACAGATTAAATTTTGGAATAAGTTAATTTGAAGTTTTCAATGATGTTTAAAACTTATTTTTTTAAGCACATTATAAGCTAAGTAAATTCTAATTTAAATTTCCCCTTCATTGGAATGTCATGTTTCATTAATAATGTTTAATTAAAAAACAGTTTTGCTTTGCATGAAATTAGTCAACTTATAAAATGTGTTTTAATAATGTATTTTTTATAATTTAAGAGCATAAAATTTATTTTTTATTAAATTTAAATTTATATATATTTTTGTTATTATTCATGATATACATGTCATAATCACTGCACAGTAATTCCTTAGGAAATTCAGTCAGCCAAATTTTTTTTTTTTACGTTAAAAATCCAATTGTCTGAATTCCAAACGATAATAAAATAAAAATAATGAAAACACAGATATGCCTGTTAAATAAATCATTTATATTTGCAAACATAAATGTGTTTTCTTTATTTTTATTTTATTATTGTTCAAAATTTGGATGTTCGGATTTTTAATAAAAAAATGGATGATTGAATTTCCTACAAATGGTAACTTCAAAATGATAAACCAACTTCCTGATGTCACTACAAGATGATGTTTTCTGATAAAAGATATTCCCTTCTCCTAAAATGAAAATCATATTTCAATGTGACGGGTGGCACTATATTTTTTCAACTATCTTTTTTATTTTATTACTTCTTTTATTCTATTATTTTTGTCTATATTTTTCTTTCTTTTTTTTTTCTTACTTTTTTCTACATTTTTTCTTATTTTTCTTGTTTATTTTATTATATCCTGTATTTTTCCTAAGGATTTGAATTTTACAAGTTTTTCATCTTCTTTCTTTACCATCCTTGCCCTAAGTCTGGTTACTCCAGCACAACCAAGGCCAGGAATTGAATTCATAACTTCAGGAAGTTAGAAACTGGAATCAATATTCTGATCCATTAGGCAATTATTTTGGCAAAAAAGATAATCACTGAATAATTAATTAGTACACTGAAGACAACTTCTACTGTTACTGTGATGATATCACTTCCTGCTATTTCTTTTGGCTGAGGAACAATATGTATAAAAGATTGGCAATTAAAATTTACTTTATTTGATTGGAACTCATTATATTTGTTATTCTTGTAAAGACTAATAACACTACATGACTAATAAGAAAATTTGACTAAAAAAACAATACAAGACTAATGAGAAAACAAGATGAATAGTAATATAAGACTGTAAAGATACAAGACGGATACTAATATGACACTAAAAATAATAGAAGACTAACAACACCACAAGATGAATAATAATATAAGACTGATAATAATGCAAGCAGGATACTAATAAAAAACTATTAAGAATAAATGACTAATAATACTATGAGATATATACTAATAAGAATACAAGATAAATAATAATTCAAGATGGATACTAATATGATACTAATAAGAATAAAAGCCTAATAAGAATAGAAGACTAATAACACCACACAATGAATAACAATACAAGACGGATAATAATACAAGATGAATACTAATATGATACTAATAAGATAGCAGACTAATAACACCACAAGATGGATACTAATATGATACTAATAAGAATACGAGGCTAATATGAAAACAAGATGAATAATAATATACAAGGCAGATAATAATACGAAACTAATAAGAATAGAAAACTAATAAGTATACAAAACTAACAAGAAAAGATGTATAAAATGCATAAGTCTGATAATAAGAAGACAAGACTAATAAAAATATAAAGTGAACAGTAATACAAGAATAATAATACAAGCCGGATACTGATACAAGACAAATAAGAAAATGAATATAATGAGAATAGATGACTAATAACATGATTAGACAAATAATAATACACGGCAGATACTAATACAAGACTAATAAGAAAAAGAAGATGAACAATAATATAAGCCTGAATATAATTCATGACAGATACTAATATAGAATATTTCTGTCATATATGTTCTGATGCCCCCACTGTAAGTCTCAGCATCCTTGACAAAATCCAGAGATGGATATTGTTGTGTGATAGGTCCTGATTTGGCATCTAAGCAGGACTACCGACCATATAAATATGGGTTGTCTCTTCTATAAGTATTTTCATGACAACTGTTCCAAGAAATTGAAATTGAATCCCTAGACTGCATGAATTTAAGTGAACCCATTATGCAGGAACTCGGTTCCAAGAATTTACCAAACGGTTAAATGTAAATCTTGTGTACCTATTCTTTGTTTCACAATACATTTTGTGGAACATCCCTTGTTTATTATTCCATGATAATTTAATCTTCAACAGATATACAATGTCAATGATAGGTCCTGATTTGGCATCCCTAGTCTACTCTTTATTTTCTTCAGAAATGCAATGGCTTCCTTCTTCTCTTCTATGTAAGTATTTTCATGACAACTGTTCTAGGCTGGTATGGTAAAAAAACAAAACAAAAATTTCACTGTACAAGAATTAAGAAAATGAAACTTATCTCTTCTGACTCAAACAGCACCATCTTGAATACTAATAGGATCTAATAAGAAAACTCCCTTCCTCTTATCTGAGCTTAAATAACTAACACCAAAAATGAATACTAATAGGATACTAATAAGAATAACAAGAGTAATAAGTATCTGAGACTCTTAACACCATGAAATGAATCTTTATTTTCTTAAGAAAACACAGTACTAAGTATCTGAGACTTCTAACACCATGAAATGAATACTAATAAGATACTAATAGGAAAAACAAGTGTGCTAGTGAGAACTCACCATGAAATTTACTTAGGATACTAATAGGAAAAAAAAGAAAACAAATCGTGTCTAATGAAATGAATACTAAAGATCTATTAGGAAAAACAAGACTTATAAGTATCTGAGACTAATAACACCATGAAATGAATACTAATAGGATACTAATAAGAAAAAACAAGAGTAATAAGTATCTGGGACTAATAACACCATGAAATGAATACTAATAGGATACTAATAAGAAAACAAGAGTAATAAGTATCTGAGACTAATAACACCATGAAATGAATACTAATAGGATACTAATAAGAAAACAAGAGTAATAAGTATCTGAGACTAATAACACCATGAAATGAATACTAATAGGATACTAATAGGAAAACAAGAGTAATAAGTATCTGAGACTAATAACACCATGAAATGAATACTAATAGGATACTAATAAGAAAACAAGAGTAATAAGTATCTCAGACTAATAATAACATGAGGTTATGAAGAAGAAGAGACTAAATCTCTCATGTATAAAACTATTTTTTATTCACTTCTGGATTTCATCAATTAATATTAACATGAGTGTGTGTGTGTGTGTGTGTGTGTGCCTTTGAGTGAATTTTTTAACATTTCCTCATGCAGATGTGAGAGAGACTTTCTATCTTTTCTCTCTTGGATTTGGCACTTACATAACTTCATGTCATCCAGTTGTTCCATGTTGTGTGCACATCCTAAGCATAACTGGGTCTATCATCTGTTTAAATGTTGTGGACAGCCACTAACATACATTGAGATGTTAATCTGCACCTGATGCCTATGAGGACAACTTCTAGGTCAGCCCTCTGATGCACTTGATTTCTCTGATGTTCTGGTGTGGCACTGACTGCAAAGTCTACTTTGGTATGTTTTAGCCCAGTACATATATTAAATTTGTTTCAGACTATCTGGTATTTCTTGGCATGAATACTATACTCCACTTAGCACAAGACAGATATTACATTTAAAGTTCTGCAGATTCACTCAGATGTAAGTGATACTGAGGCCATCAAAAGAACAACACATTACAACCTCCTCCA